ATGTTATTAGCTGTAAGAGCCCCCAATAAAATGATTTTTTAAAATAACAGCTTGTGATTTAACCCATGTATCATATGGTTCAATTTTATCATTTTCAGTATATTCACAATGGGCAATCACGCTATTTAATTCCAGAATGTTTTTTTTTTCTCAAAGACTCCCTCTAATGGTCAATTTTGTGTCAAATTGGCTTGGCGATGGCTCCCAGTGGTTTGGCCAAACACTAGCTTATTTGCTATTCCATACTGTACTCTAAGGCAATGTGGTCAATCAGTTCAAATGGGTGTTCGTAGAGTGTGGTCTGTGTCAGACTGGAGGTGTTTAGTAGTGTTCTCTCCTCCACTCAGCTCTATTCTCTTCTGACTACAGCTCTTGGATGTAAGCCTACAGAAGTCTGTAGCCTACCCCCTGACCCATATATGGATTTTGGAGTTATCAGCCCCCCCCCCAGTTCCATTAATTGTAAATATATGTATAACAATGAAATAAACAGCTAATTAGTCCACAGAGCTGTGGATAGTTAATATACTAGCAGTCCTTCAACTCACAAGGGCTGTTGGGTGCAAGTCAAGGAAGCAGACAGCCAAGTCCTCTGCAGAGCAATATAGGCAGTCTGGCCACAGGCAGCAAACAGCAAGGCAGGTCACCAACAGTAAGCCAGATGACAGGGTCCGACAGTCCCCAGCTCAAGTAATGTACACACCAGCAGTGCAGGGAAGCAGGTCTCGAAGGAACCTCAAACTATAGTGACCGGTCCATGGACTGGGTGTCCCACAGGCAGTGTAGTTTGCAAGTTGAGGCAGAGAACTAAGGCAGCCGCACACAGGTGTGCTCATCAGAGAGCAAGAGTCAGGCAAGGCTCGCTGAGCCATTTCTCTTTGCCCTTCAATTAAACTGTAACTTTATTAATCCTACATGTCTATTGGCCAGGTTGGCACAAGAAATCTACCTATCACATAAATTTTGCCCTATAATCTTACTGGTTTCTGTTTTACTAAGGCACTCTCCATCCTTACATTCCCCATTGCTGCAGACATGAATCTACTTTCTCTCTAATACCGGGATCCTTCATAGATATATATATATATATATAATCTCCTTCATATAATCATTTATGATTGAATCATATATATATATCATATAATCATTTATGATTGAATCATATTTCACTGTATGTATATATTTTTGTGTATTTACCAACCAAACTGTCCATTCATCTGTTGATGAACATTTGGGCTGTTTGCACCCTTTGACTATTAGAATGCTGCAATGCACACTCACATTCAAGTTTTCATGTAGATATATAGGTATAAGCTTAAGCTTCTCTCCTAGCTTAAATAGGAACTGATCCCTCAGTATTAGTCCCAGGATGAGAACATAAAGAATCCCAACTTACTTGTAACCAAGCAAAGACAGGCCTGTCACATGATAGGTGGCATCTGTTCATAGGTATGTCTCAAAAAATTCATACTGTTGAGGAAAAAAACCAAACACTGCCACTGGGTCAATTGCAACTCCTGGTGACCCTGTATAGTTTACCCCAAGAGTGTAAATCTTTGTGGGAGAGAAATAGTCTCATCTTTCTCATACAAACCGTTAAAGGTACTAATTAAATCAATTTATACAGGGATGATTTCCACTTTGATTATTTCTATATTGTTTGCTTTCTAAATAAATGTACTACTTCAATTTTTTTTACTGTTCAAATTATCCATGTCGGTCTCCACTAATACATATAGCTGAGATTAAAATTGACTTTTCAATAGGATGAACATCTATAATAAAAATGTCTTGAAAAGCATTTTGTACATCACTACATTTAAAGTGCCCATTGACATTGTTAAAATACAGTCAATCCTTAACAACTTCAAAAGCATTTTACCGGGAAGGAGGCAAAAAAAGAGGAAGTGATACCAAGGGCTCAAGTAGAAAGAAAATGTTTTGGAAATGTTGACAACATATGTACAAGTGTGCTTAATACAATTGAATGATGGATTGTTGTAAGATTTGTAAGAGCAGCTTTGCACAGTGGCAATATTGTAGCCAGTGCGGTTTATCCGAGGCACGATTATTGCTAATTGAGAAAAAAATCTGTGAGAGCCCCCTAATAAAATGAACTTAAAAAAACATTTTAACTATGTGAATAGCTTCATCACAAATTCCTTCCTTACCACCATTAATGCAAATTTGCTTAGTCCATTAAACAGATTGTTTTATCTGCATTCTATGTGACACCATCTACCCTCTCTAAAACCTCAATCTGATCGGAGTGACCCTAAACTCTCAAGGCTTCCTCCATTCTGCTTAGATTGAGATAAGCCTGGGGCAGAACCAGACTGCCCGAGTATAGTGTCCACTGCCCAAGCCCACGGTGAGGGGCAGAGCAGAGCTGCTCCACAGGTATTCTCGGCTGTGACCTTTGTACAAGCAGATCAGCAAGTCTTTCTTTGGGGGTCCACTGTGTAGGCTCAAACCGGCCACCATGAAGTTAACAGCCAATCACAGATGACTTGCATTACCCAAGGACCTTGAAATATTTTAAACAAATAGTATGCTAATTGATTTACTTCACCTACCACAGTGGTTCTCAACCTTCCTAATGCCGCAACCCTTAACTACAGTTCCTCATGTTGTGGTGACCCTCAACCACAAAATTATTTTCGTTGCTACTTCATAACTGTAATTTTGCTACTGTTAGCAATCGGGCGACTCTGTAAAAGGGTCGCTCGACTCTCAGAGGGTTCGAGACCCACAGGTTAAGAACCACTGACCTACAAACACCATTCTCAGCAATTTTATACACAACTAGAAATTTTTCACCCATCAAAATGCGTAAATTCACCCCAAAATGAACTCCAACTAGGAAACGAAAGGAGTACTTGTGGCGCAGTGGTTAAGCACCAACCTGCCAACTGAAGGGTCGCTAGTTCAAACCTGTAAGCTACTCTGTGTAAGATGTGGCAGTCTGCTTCTGTATGGATTACAGCCTTGGAAACCCAATGGGGCAGTTTCAGTCTGCCGTACCAGGCCATGAGTCAGAATTGACTCAATGGCGATGGGTTTTTGGACAAGCCAAGATATGACCAAATAATAATTTATAAATTATCAGGGTTCATGAGGGAAGGGGGAGCGGGGAGGGAGGGGCAAAAATGAGGACCTGATGCCAGCGGCTTAAGTGGAGAGCAAATGTTTTGGGAATGATGAGGGCAATGAATGTACAAATGTGCTTTACACAACTGATATATGTATGGATTGTGATAAGAGTTGTATGAGCCCCTAATAAAATGATTAAAAAACAATAACAAGATAGTCCTTAAGATATTCATTTTTACTTAAGAGAAATCATTAATCCATCTCAATATAAGGCATAAAATGACAATTAAAGTATATTAACCATTAAAATTGACAGTTGACAAAAGGCATTTAAATTATTTTCCTTGATTTTTTTTAAATGTTTAAAATGAGGTTTCACTAGACTAGTTACAGGACTACTTATATAAAATTTCAAAAGACCTTTAAGCAATAGTACAGTTCATTCAATTCCACGCAGTCTTAACTCTTCTTCTCTTCGGATTCATGTGACAATTTCGCCCTTTCTTTTAATGCCTGTTGATTTTTGGAATATTGTTCAAATATTGGTTGATAAATATAAATTCCTCCAGTAACTCCAAGTAAACTGGCAAAAAGCAGTTGTGGGAGAGTCAATCTTCCAAACATTGTGGATTCAGCACAAGGCAAAAGTGGGTTTTGAAAGAGTGTAATCCCAAATCCAGGAAATATTCTCAGACCTGCATACAAAAGGAAAGGGGAAGTAATACTTTAAACACACTATCGTTTTAAGATTTCCTGATACTACTTTGCTGTGGTGTAAACAATACTTTTGTCCCATAAACATCACTCACTTTCCTAAAAAAAATGGGAGTATGAGACCAGGCAGTGCTGTGTTCCGTTCTACATAAGGCAACCACCTTGATGGCGCCTAACAAGAGGAACGTGAGAAATTTGGGTTGGAGGATGACAGGAAAGCAAAGCCAACTCCTCAGCAACCTACAACGAGATGTCTCGATATAAACAGAAACAAAGAAAAACTGCATTCTCTTCACGTCTTGTAAAGGCCTCTAAGACCAAACTCACTGCCTTGAAGTTGGTGCCAAGTAACAGTGAGCCACTGTGGCTTTCTGACAGTAGAAAGCCCCATCTTTCTCCTAAGGTTCGATTAGTGGTTTCAAACTGCTGACCGTGCAGATCTCAGCCCCACACATAACCACTATGCCACCAATATAAGGTGACCAGACGTCCCGATTTTTAACAATTTTTCCCGTGTCCCGCGGCGTTTTTAAAAAGTCCCGATTTTTGGAAAGAATGCAAGACAAGCTAGGGTATACGGTTTTCGGCTGCCATGTGGCTATTTCGCCAGGATATGTGTTTTATCAATGGTGTCCTGCTTTACCAATGTTAAAATCTGGTCACCTTACACCAATACCACAAAACTACTAAAAGAAACAGACAAGGTGATCGCTTCTGAAGACTTCAGCCAAACCAAACAAAAAAACCACCTCACTACGATTGAGCAGATGCCAACTCATAGCGACCCTATGAGACAAAATAGAATTGCCCTGTGGGCTCCTGAAACCGGAACTCTTTCCAGGAGAAAGCCTCACCTTTTCCCCCTCGGAGAGGCTGTGCTGAGCTGCTGCCTTTGCAGTTATCAGGCCAACTCAAATCCACTGCATGACCACGCTTCCTGAGATCAAAGCAGCAGGCAAACATTGTCAGGGAGCTATCACTTTTCAATATTAGCTCTTCCGTATTTCATTTTTTAAGACACTATTTTTTTTTCTTAAACTATGCTGCTAATGTGTTACAAGCTCAAGGCAACCCCATGGGTTTGGTATAGAGCAGAGATTAGTTATCTAGGCCTACCTTCCAGGGAGCCCCTACTATCTTCCGTGAGTTCAACCTGCACACCTTTTTTTTAAATCATTTTATTAGGGGCTCATACAACTCTTATCACAATCCATACATACATCAATTGTGTAAAGCGCATTTGTACATTCTTTTTTTTTTTTTAAATCATTTTATTAGGGG